GGAGCAACCAGTCCAAGAGAAAGCCTTGTGTTGCAGTCAACCAAGCTGGGGGCAATGGGAGACCTAAGAGCCTCTTGACAATGGACATAATGCTACTTGGTTTGGAGTTTGCCCAGCTGGGTTTCAGTCTTGCTTCGGTCTAGTATTTCATCCCTATACTCTGCTTCTTCCCCTTTGGAATGGTGATGTATATTCTGTGCCATTGTATATTGGAAATATCTAATTTGTGTTTTGAATTTGATTTTACAGAAGGTTACAATTAAGAGATTGCTTTGAGACTTAGAAGAGGATTGGACTTTTAAATAGTGTTGAGACTGGGAAAAACTACGGGAACTTTTGAGTTTGAGCTGAATACATTTTGCATTATGATACAGCTGCACGTCTATAAGGGCCAGGGAGTAGGGTGTGGTGGGTGGAATGAAAATGACCTCCACAGGCTCATACTTAGATGCTTGGTCCATAGTTGGTGAAACTGTTTTAGGAAGAATTAGGATGTGTGGCCTTGTTGTAGGAGGCTTTGAAGTTTCAAAAGCCCATGCTGAGCCCAGCCCCAGCCCCTGGCCCAGGCCCATTCTCTCTCTCTCTCTGCCTCCTGCCTGTGAATTGGATGTAAGTATGAGCTCTCAGCTAATACTCCAGTACCAGGCCTGTCTTCCTGTTGCCGTGCTTCCCAACATGGCGGTCATGAACTCACCCTCAGAAACTGTAGGCAAGCCCCTCATTAAATGCTTTCTTTTGTAAGTTTTTTGGACATGGTATTTTTTTCATATCAGTAGGAAGGTAACTAAGACAATTAGTCACAAAATTTTAGAGATACATGGGCTTCAGGGTTATCTTTCTAAGTGTGCTTATGTTTTCCAGGACTGGCTTTGGAGGATGTGGGGCCTGGAACCACGTCCAAAAGATACCTAACTAGTGTGATCTTTGCTGCATATCTGAGGGATACTGGAATTTGACTATCAGGAGCTTTAAAAATATTCCAAGACAAGTATCCTATTCCACAGGTTCTGATGTCCAAGGTAAACTAATATTATGATGTTTAAAATTCTTTATGTTTCCTCTCACTTTCTTTTCCTCAGTTCTCCTCTGCCTGGTGGCTTTCACACACACTGAGGTCAGCTACTGAGTGCTTCCCACTGGAATGCTGACTGATCTCGTGCAGGTTTTGCGCAGATGACTGTAGCCACAGTGAGTTCATTTGTGCAACAGCCTTGACATGCCCAGGAGATAGTATTTCACAGGCCTCTTCCTCCAGCCCTTACATTGTTTCTCTCCTTCCTTCTCTCTGACGTTCCCGGAGAGTCACATGGGGTGTGTGTGTGTGTGTGTGTGTGTGTGTGTGTGTGTGTGTGTGTGTGTGTGTGTGTGTGTGTGTGGTTGATGTAGCTCTCCCGTTCAAGGCTGAGCACTCAACAGTCATACTTTTCTCAGCACTTTGACCATTTATGAATCATTGTGTTAATTTCTACCCACTGCAGAAAGAAGTTCTCCTGACCTGGGTGGAGCCATCCTACTCTGTGGGTATAAATGTAAATATTTAGAAGGCAGTTTAACAGCATGCCCATTTATCAGAACAACAGTAATAGGTTCCTTCCTAGGGTCTATGACCTCCAGAACTGTGGGCTTCCGGTCAGGTTTACAGTACTGCCATGAAGTCTCTCCTGTGGAGCAAGCCTCAGATCCAATCAGAAAGTGACTGGTTACCTCTATAACCTTCATGCCACTATTGTACCAATGGGCACTTGGGTATTACACAGGGTTTGTCACTGGGTAAGACCACTGATGCCTCTTTTTATTCCTTCAGAAGTCTGTGTAGCACCTTCTAGCTTGGGGGGGCATTTACAGGTTAATTTCAGTTTGAAGTCTCTGTCACGCAGTTGAGGGCACGTTGGAGCAAGGACCTTCCATATAGCATTAACTCTTCCTAAAATCTGAGCTGAAAGGGAACCTCTAACCAGATGCCTCGGGTCTCCTGGGAGGGCCTTTAAGAGCCGTAGGAGGATGTAGGGAGGCTAAGGGATGCTGCAGGCCCGCCCCTCCTGTTCAACCTGAACGTCTCTACCTCTATCTGTCCTCTCTGTTGAGCTCACTGCTCTTGTCACAAAAAGACGGAGAAGGTACATGCTGTCAAGTGAAGTTTAAAAGCCACCCGCCTCCTCAAAATGAGGTTTTAAAAAATGACTTATCCTTTCTAGCATTTTCATTTTATAAATAAGGAAGCTGCAGCAGCTAAGTTCTGATGACTTGATGAGCGGGAGCTGACAGCTGAGTTCCCCATCACCACCCCCCTTCCTCGGTTCCTGCTACAGCGTCAGCAGACACCGCCACTGATACTCAGTCTGCGCAGGTTATGAAAGACAGGACTTTTTGAGGCGTTCTTCTCTGTAAGACAGGAATTGTCCGGGCTACCTCACCATCTAGGGGCCTCATGGAAGGAATGCCATAGGGCTCTACACCCCAGCCATAAAGAAAAATAGTACAATACAATTGAAAATCATGGAGGCCTGTGACTTGATCAGGCTTGATCAGGCTTCTCATTCTATAAGCTCTATTGCCACCCATGGGCGGCCATAACAGTCTAGGGCCCCACAGAACTGTTACTATGGGAAGGATAACCCTGAAAGCGTTTTGACCTCTGCTTTGCTTGGGGCCTCTCTGAGCCAGAGGCTGTAGCAAGTTGATTTGTTTCTAAGGGCAGTTTGCCTGGGCCCTTGTTGCCTGCCTAGTGTTCTTTTTCTGTATTTGTTATTACGCAGTTTCAGAAGACTCTTTAGCTTGTGTCAGATGGTCCAGTGTTCGAGTTCCTAATTCTTCTACCTCCTTTTCTGTCCAAGTATGGCTCTGTCTAGGGTTCCATGCTATGCCTCTTCATCAATGTTTGTGACATTGTCTAACCTTAAAGGCTGGGTCAATGGATGCAGGACTCACTATCAGATCAGTCTGGGCAGCAGTCTGTTTCTTTTTCTTTTCTTTTCTTTTCTTTTTTTGTGGTTTTTTGAGACAGGGTTATTCTGTATAGCTCTGGCTGTCCTGGAACTAACTCTATAGACCAGGCTGGCCTCGAACTCAGAGATCCACCTGCTTCTGCTTCCTAACCCTAGCCCAAATGCTAGGATTAAAGTCATGCACCACCACTGCCTGGCTTATTCTTTTCTAACAAGGTTTTGTTTGTCTTGTTTTACAGACAAAGCTGGTCTGGAATTCACTGTGTAACCCACGCTGGCCTTGAACTCATGTTTCTTTTGTCTCAGTCTCCCAAACATGAGCAATACAACTGTGACTACTCCTTCCCAGTGAGAAGACGTAGTGCTGTTTCCATGGGAGCTCTGAAGCATCCTCAGTGGGATGACAGCGGTATGTGGGGTACGTACCCCGTGAGGTGGGGTTACCTACGAGACACATGGCCCACAATTGCCTGCTTTAAGCACTGGGCCTGCTGCCTTTCTACTGTCTCGTTCGGGAGCTGGGGCCAGCACTCTAGACTGTGTCAGCTCTGAACTTTGACAAGTCCCTGCACTTTCTGTCTGGTCTGAATAGTAGGAAATCCTTTAAGCCAAGGTGACCCGCATCTTTGTTTCTAAGGAGAATGAAGAAAAATAAAGGCAAGAAAGGAGCTGAAAGGCCTGCACTCAGGAGGAAGGTCGCCCAAGAGCCTGAGAGGGACCCTCCTGAAGATGAAACAGTTCAGAGTCTTGCCTCTCAGAGTTTTTGTTCCCAGCTTTCTTCCAATGTGGATGAGGGGAAAGGAGACAGAGGAGGTTCCTGGAGGACCTTGAAGAAGATCTATTCACCACATTGTCCAGTAAGAATTTCAATTCTCAGCCAGGCAATGGTGGCATACGCCTATAATACCAGCACTGGGAAGGCAGAGGCAGGTGTATCTGAGTGAGTTCGAGGCCAGCCTGGTCTACAAAGAAAATTCCAGGACAGCACTGCTACCCAGAGAAACCCTGTCTTGAAAAAACAAAGAAAGAAAAAGAATTTCATTTGCAGAAGTCAAGCAAATAAAGGAAATGAAATCATTCAACCAGGCAGCTTTACAGCAAAGGATGTGTCTACTGTGCAGTTATTTACTGTGACAAGGACAAAGAAACAAGAGCTGACAGATAAGAACACAGTACGATGGAATCCACAGATCCATCCATGGTCAGAAAAGGAGCCTTCAGGATTGTGTGGTCAACAGAGTGGTCACTGGTGGCTCACGATTTTCATTTAAGTATGCCTGGAGGAATTCACGTGAATGGAAGTACAGAAGAAGCTAAGGGGTTGGAGGGGACAGCAGGAAGAATGACCTCAGGGACAACAGAGAAGTAGAAACTACTTGAGAGGGAGTTTGAAGTTTAGACCGTCTGTGGCCATGGGGAAAATGGCACCTGCTTGTGCTGAATGCAAGAGCTGACCTTGAACACTACTGAAAATCCTAGTGAGGTCTAGGGCGGCGCTCTCTTTTCCGAGACTGGATCTCCAGTTACAATCCACTCATCGCATCCTCTCCACTGGCTCGACTGTGCAGTAGAGTAGCCCTTCCATTTGGCTTGTCCAGCTGCTTCTCAGATGCCAGCCAAATCATGAAACCAAACTTCTTGAGAATCACTTCTGGCACGTTTCCTCTCTGAATTGATTTTATTAGTTACAACATTTTATCTAAACCATCCCCCCCCCTTTTTTTTCTAGCTTGGAATAGGTAGCAGTTTGTACTATTTCCTTCTTGTGTACTATTCTACTAATCACTTCCAGCTTCTACTACACAGTCGGTGTCATCAGCCACCTTTGTGAGATTTGATGTCTGAAGACTACACATACACTTTAAGATGCGTTGTATGCACTGTGCTGTATGTTCTGTTTGTACTTCTATTGAACACTTAAACAAACTACTGAATCTCTGCCTGTAAAAACCCTATAATAGCAGAGAAATATGCATGAGTTGGTGTGGGTGTGGGTGTGGTCTATACAGTCACTGAATAATGAGCCACTTGCCGTACACCACTCTCCGTGGGAGATGAAAGCTGAAACACACAGCCCTATTTGCTAAGCATATTACAATCAAATGGACAGAGACTCTGATCATTACCAGGTAAGTCTCAAATTAGAAAAACAATTGACTTTAGAGCCAACAGCATTGATGTCAAACACTTTTGTCTTATCGAAATTTTCTAATGATGGCTGTAAATTAAGCCTCCCTTCCATAGATCGTCATGTGAGCTGTATCCGGGGTACAACTCTGGGTGGGATAGTTTATTAATATAGTTAAATTTACTGGAACATTTATGAGGGCTTAGTTTTCTGTTGTGTGACAGACTAGTCCAGACCAGGCACCTTAGAAGTGAAATTTAGTTCTAACAGGATTTAGATAATTAAAAGGCAGCTGTGGAGAGATAGAAGGCAGAAATGTTATGATATGTGGCAGTCAGGGAGTGGGGGCTTCGTGGGTCCCATGGTGGACCTGTGAGGGGAAAACTTGCCATCAGTTAGAACTTATGTGGAAAGTTTTATTGGGGGGAGGGAAGCAAGTGGGAAAAGGGAAGGGAGAGAGGAGAGGGGACAGGGGAGAGAAGGAGAGAGAGAGAGAGAGAGAGAGAGAGCTACTTCCTCAGGAAACAGCAGAAAGAGAAAGTGGGAATGGGCAGAACTTGTGTCTTAAAGGGACCTTCACATCTTCAGACAGAGGGTACTACCTGCTATGTGTGCAGGGGTGATGTACTCTACCAAGTCCCCAAGGGCCAGGGCCAGGTTTGCCTGGAAGATAACAGGAAAGAAAGAGAGGCTTGATTTGACCTTAGGTGGGACAGGGTATCTTCATCACTCACGTGTGTGGATGGCCAAATTGCCTACAGAGAGAATAAATGAGTTGCAGCCCTTATAGAGGCAGAAAGACTTTCATAGTCTGCAAGGGAAGCTGGGAAGTGTAGCCTTTCAGCAGGAAACTATCAATTGTGGAGGTGAGAAGTCCATGGCTGAAGGCTGCATGTATCTGGAGAGGGCTAATATGCATGTGGCTCTTCATCTTCTTAAAAAGTCACAAGTTCCAACACAGGGTTCCACCTCTATGGTTTCCTCTAAGCCAGACTGCCTCCCAAGAGTCTTACCCTGCCCCCAAATATCAGCATCCTATGAATTTTGGGACTTTCTACAGCATGAGCTTTGGAGAACACTATTCAAAGCACAGCATATATATTCCTGTAGGATGAATAATAAAAGACACAGAGACAGACAATGGGGAATGTCTTTCTGTATGCTGTGAATATATATTTCTCTTATTGTTTCAGCCAATGGACAGGCAGGATGTAGTCAGGCAGGAAGTATAGGCAGGGTTACTAGACTAGGAAAATTTGGGGAACAGGATTTCGGAGAGTGAGTTGCAAGAGAAGCCCTGTAGCTGCCAAGAAAGCAAGATGCTCAGGCATTACTGGTAAGCCAATGCCATGTGGAGATAAACAGATTAATAGAAATGGGTTAATAATTAAGAAAGAGCTAGCCAATAAGAAGCCTAAGCCATCCGTCAAACAGTTTATAATTAGCATAAGCCTCTCCATGTTTATTTGGGACTAAACGCTGTGAAACCAGATGGGACAGAAACTTCAGTCCACACACAGATATTGGGGATCAGGCTTCAAGCTGCAGATCAGAGAAGCAAAGCAGTCAAGTCCGTAGATTTTATCTCTACCAAGCTGAAATGGTAATCCTGTCTCCAAGAATGCTCAGAGGCAATAGCTCTGAATTCCTGTCTCTTCCTCCTTTTATTCCTTTAGAAAAAGGCATATCTCAGGTATATCCTTCTGTCTCTACCTCTCTAGTGCTGGGATTAAAGGTGTGTGGTTCAAGGTGCTGGGATCAATGGTGTGAACTCAGAGAGATCCGTCTGCCTGTCTCGGGTTCTGGGATTAAAGGTGTATATCACCACTGCCTAGCTCTATAGCTAACTAGTTTGGCTGACTTTGTTTTCTGATACTTCAGGCAATCTTTATTAAATCATAAATAATATATCGCCACCGTTTCTGGTGAGAGGAACTAGAATTAAAAAGCAAGTAAGACATAGTTCTGATTCTCAGGCCTCTGGATATCTGGTAGGAAGAACAAGCTGCAAACACAGAGTTCCTAGCAGGCACGATGGTGCAGAGCAGGCCCTAGAGAACAGCCGCCTGCCGCACACCACGTATGTGATGTTCTGTTGCTGATGCTGTACCAACGATCTTGGCAGTGGGGCGAGGACTTGCCTCTCGAACGTTCTCCTGATCTCCTGTTCAGAGTGCGGAGTAGTAGCTCCAATGTGCTGGGGTCCGAGGCCCCAGCAAAGCTGAAGGGCTCCGCACAGCAGGACTTCCCGTCTGGGCTGCTGCACATGCCTTCTTGCTGTGTTTTCTTCTAGTCGTCATCGGGAACCAGGAAGGGTAGCTTGGCTTTTCTCCTCTGATAAAGCTGTTGATACCCATCCTGGTTCACTATGCAGCTGGGAGGGGGCCAAGAAACCCATTAAGAGCTTCTAGTTGTCTTTAGAATAAAATTCAACCTTTCTTCAAGGCTGGCCCTGATCTCTGTCCCTCCCCGACCCCCAACCCCCCCCCCCCCCCCCGCTCCTGCCATGGTTCTTTTGAGCGGCAGCCAGGCTTGATCCTTGTGGTTTCTTCAGAAGCATCACCTGCAGGCTCGTCTCCAACCTCTGTGCCTTGTCTTCCTTGGGCCCAAAGTACTCTCCCTCCTAAACTATGTCTGCCAGATCTGCATCAGTCTCCGGCCCTTGGCTTCTAGGTCATTTCCTTGGGCAAATCCCTGCTGACCTCAGAGATAAGGTGCCTCCTAGATGACCCAGGACATATCTCAGTCCCCATCAAATGTCAGAGGGACTCTTCCCTCTTCTCTTCTGTAACCTGCAGAGGGAGGGCACAGACCACATCTGTTTGGCTGGCTTTTGTCTTCCCAGGACCTGGCAGATAATTTGGTGGGTGCAGGGCCAGCTTTTTGGGCAGGTGATCTGTGTAGTCAGCAGGGAACTCATGTGCAGCAAGGTGGGTTTAATGCCTGGCTTAGTGTTGTTGTCTCGAAAATGTTTGTGTTTCAAACAAGGAACCCCATGTGTTTTCATTTTGTACTGAGCCTCAGATATTATGCAGCTGGTATGTGGACTAGTAAATGAACTAGTATATACAATATATTATATATATATATTTTATTTATACACATATTCTTGTAGTATATCAAATCAATAAGTGGGCAGGAGAGACCACTCGTTGAGTAAAGATGCCGACAATTTGTTTGGTAATGCCTTTTATTTTTTTAAGAGGAGGGGAGTCTTACTCTGTAGTTCTGGCTATCCTGGAAGTCTCTGTAGCACAGGCTAACCTTAACTCCATGGTGATCCTCCTGCTTCATCATCCCCTGTGCTGGGATTACAAGTGTGAGCCACCAAACCAGTCTGGGGACAACAGGAGTCCAAATGGTGGAAGGAGAGATCTGGCTCCCAAAAGTGCCATGGTACCTACATCTTCATGTACACACACATTCACACACACATACACCACACACACACATACACATTCACACACACACATACACACCACACACACACACATTCACACACACACATACACACCACACACACACATTCACACACACATACACACACACACATACACCCACACATACACACATTCACACACACATACACACACACACACACACACCACACACACACACACACACACACACACACACACACCAAGCAACGGGAATGTAAAAGCAAAAATTAAAAGCAAGGCAATATTTGAAATAATTATGTGCTATTTGTTCTGTGAGATGCATTTTCATTAAAAATTTCGTTTTGTATGACCACAACCTTCATGAATTATAAAGAAAAGCAAGTGTGTGTCTGGAATGATTTACTTAGCCTCGGGTCTAAGTTAGAAGGTAGGATGGGTATGGTGGCATACCATATCAGAGTCCCTTCACTTGGGAAGAGGATCAGAACAGCTAGAAGTGTTAGCAGGCTACAGGAAACCCTGTGAAAAACAAAAAAGCCAAAGGACACCGTCTGCAAATTGTAGTTAATGCCATGTAGATGTCAACCTCCATGCTAAGCAAGAGTGTCTGTTTGGGTGACAAGAGCAGTACGAGAAGAGAGTGGCTACCCCAGGTAAGACTGGGTCTGGGTGTTCCATTATCAAGAGCTTTGAGTCTGCAAAGCCCTGAGGGACCTCATGCTAAGCTTTGCAAGGGCAGTTAGTGTGAGTGTGTCAGTCACTTTGATCTGCTGTAACACAATTCCAGTCTAGAGCCTCTGTGTGTGTGTGTGTGTGTGTGTGTGTGTGTGTGTGTCCATATCACAGTACTTGAAAGGCTGAGGCAAGAGGATTACAAGTTGGAAGCTAACGTAGGTTGTATAGCAATATCTTGTCTAAAACAAACAGAACCACCAGCAAGGACTACAAAAGCATACAGACTGTGTGGCTAAAATCTACCAACTTAGTTCTCACAGTTCTGAGAAGTCAGGGAAGATCCAGGCATCAGCAGCCTTGGTGTCTGCCTCCTCCTCTCACTCGGGTAGTATTTTCTCACTGGGTCTTTTCTTGGTGTGTGCTGTGCTCCTTTGGGTCTCATTAAACATTCAGACTACATAAGAGAGTCTTTTTTAAATGGATCCCTGAGTTATCACCATCACGTCCAATGGGACAATGGTTGGCTTTACTATCTATTTTTTTTACTTATTTATTAATTAATTTTCTTGCCTGAATGTTTGTCTTTATGACACATGCATGTGTGGTGCCCACAGAAGCCAGAAGAGGTTGTCAGGTTCTCTGGAACTGAAATTACTGACAGTTGTGAGCTGTCATGTGGGTGCTGGGAATCAAACCCAGGTCCTTCCTCTGGAAGAGAAGCAAGTGCTCTTAAGCCCTGGGCTATCTCTCCCACTCCTTGCATGGAGAAGGCAGCTCATTTCAGCGTGGAAGGTTTAAATGTGGATTCCAACACAGCCAGGCCCAGAGTCCCTACAACATGTGAGATGCTTATTTTTTTTTCTTACTGCTGCACATCAGAAGTGTCCAGGACAGGGTCTGTCTGCCCTCATCCCTTCTCTGCAAC